CTAGCTATCAAATTATTTGAATGTCTACAAAGGTTTGGAAGCTTATCATTTTATTAATTTGGATTTTAAAATCTCAAAAATCAATCTCAATTATATACAAAAAACTTTTCAGTGAATTTAAAAAGAAATGAGCTGAAGAAAAAAAAATCTTTTCCACTCTTTACAAGTATTTTCTCTTTGAAAGTTTGTAACTCAGAAAAAAAGTTTTTTTTTACCCTTTTGCAGAATTCTAATTATTCAAAAACTGACTGAGCACTTTTAAATAAGTTCAAGGCATGGATGAAAAAGGCAACATAATCTATTTTCAGGCCAAAATTCATGATTTCTTAACTGCTAGAAGTGAGCTGAAGTGGCTCGGTGGCGGAATGGTTTAGTACTTCGGTACCTAATTATTGCAACACCGACACAGCGATCATGGGTTCGAGACTGGGTATGGGAAATTTTTCACTTGTTCTTTTTCGAATCATATGTACTGGAAATGAGGCTCACAGCCTTCCTTTGTAGGCTACAGACAGAAATGTCATCAAAGGAGTGGTTCGGATCCCACTATAAATTGTAGGTCTAGGTTTGAGTGCAGTGGTTTGGCGCATCCTCACTCGTTAAACTCTCATTAGCTGCGAATCGCCCTAGCGCACCTCTGGATCACAATTGATCTGAATAGGTAAAGGTTTTTTTTTTTTTTTTTTTTTTTTTTTTTAACTGCTAGAACGAAAAAAAATCATGTAATTTTCACAAGTGTTAATTGAAGATTTAGCAAAAGAAATGGGAGAGAAAAGGGAAAATAAGAAAAAACGCTTTTTTTTTAAAAAAAAAATGTATTTGCCTCTTTAATGAGTCTAAATTAGAACAAAGTTATTTTGATGAGTAAAGTTTTTCATTAAAGAGTTAAAAAATTTATTTGGTTCTTTCAACTTAAACGTTTTCAGCTGTTTTTCTCTTGTTAGACTTATCAGAAGGGGTTTCAAGTATGCTTTTGAAATTGATATTGTTGTTTAAATGAGAAATACACAATATATCTTATTCTACTCAGATTTTGATATTTTCATTGTCTGCTTCTTACATTCCCATTCCCTCAGAATCAAGATTGTGAAAACCAAAGCATAGATTTGAAGCCTGTTTAAAAAGAGTGATGGAGAAAATGTTGTTTTTTTCTGTATTTGGGTGAAATTCTTAAAACAAACAAAAGGGGTGTATTGAAAGAGAGATCTAAATGTACCCTAAATAGCATGATACTTCATGGGTTTACCAAGCAACATTTATTTCTTTCTTTTCTTTTCTAACCATAATGAGAGACATTTCATTCTACTTAGAGGGAAATCTTTTTCTGAAGTTTTATTGATGTAGATATATAATCAAAATAATGCTCAGTCAGATCGAATTAAAAAGCTTATTATCAGTGCTTTAGATGTTGTTTTATTCATGTTCCCAGAACAAAAACGAGAAGGAAGTATACAACACAGCTTTTCGATTAACTCCATTTAATATTTTAAAAACAATGAAAACATATAACAATGAAGTTTTTAAAACCATAATATGTTAAAAATATGCATATGAATTTAATGTTTTTTACAATTTAATGACGGAATTTTGTCAGGTAAAAATGAGGAACTAACAAAAAGCTTTACTACTTTTATATAAGTAAAAAATGAAAAATGAAAATCATGTTCTTTCTGCCTGTATCAGTCTTCCTTTCCCAGGGGTTTAATATCGCATTATTTTTTTGGCATTTGATATGGAGTATAAAATTATTAAATAAAGATTTAATATGTGATACACCCTCGATCAAGTGGGAATAAATATAATACGTTTATCTAATAATGTCCTTTTAATATTCCTTTGATATTTGTTTAAATAAGAATGAAACAAATAAACCGTGTAGAAATCACTTATCTTTATTTGGCTTGTAACGTCCTTACCTTTTTAAATCTTTGAAGCAGACTATCTGTTATCTTCAAAAAAAAAACTATGTAGTTTTTATTTAAAAAAAATATAATAAATTTCTAGTTAAAATTTTAGAACATAGTTGGAGCTCCTTAATTATTCTCTAATTCAAGGGAATGAACTATTCTCATTAATATAATTTGGAAGAAACAAAATAGCAATTTTTAGAGCGAAAACAATTAATTGATAATGACTGGCACAACTACATGAGTTTCTACTTTCGAAAAAAGTATGAAAGAGAAAAGTAAATTATAATGGCGCTTGCGATGTGAATAAACACGCAAAAAATTTTCTTTGCACATTGACGCGACGGAAAAAGTTTATTTCCTTGACACTTCATGGACATGGAAAAGAAACATCATTCTTTTGTTAAAATTTCAGCTTAGATTTATTTAAAACTTGCGACTAAGCGTGAAAAATGTAAACAACACCGGTAATTATCTAAAGAGAATGGATGAATATATACTTTCATTTCCTCTTTGGTCTCCATCATTCCGTAGTTCTGAATGAATGAATGAATTGTGTATTGTCTCATTCGTTATAAAGTAACTGTATTCTTGTGATGTCAACTCAGCTCTCTTGTTTGTTCGCTCTTTATATTCCTATAAAAATGTAAGTGTTTGTATATATAAGTATACATACTATATAAATGCTCATAATGCCTTTCCGTCCTTAAAGAATGACATTTAATGTCAAACTGTTTGTCTTAAAACATTTCTCACTCTCTTTTCTCCATTATTTTTCCATGTCCATTAGTTATTTCTTATTTTATTTTTCGTTTTTAAAAAATATATATGCGTCAAAAATAAAGAGATGTATTCAGCAGAAAGTTTTTAAAGTGTTTCTAAGTAGTGCAAAAAAAATTTTTTTTTTCACTAATTCCACTAAAATAGAAACTTTTTCAGCGAGTTAGACATTTTCTGAAGTAGTTTCTTATGAATGTTGTGTCATACTAATTTCTTCGTGCCCTTATTTTTTTAAACAATTGATGAAAATTATTACAAAAAGAAATGAGTGAAAAATTTAAAAAAAGTTTCAATTAAAGTTGCTTAAATTTGTTTAATAATTTATATTTAAATATTTCATACGTTTTCGTATTAAATTCTCATACATAAAAGAAAGAAAAAAAAAATGATGAAGCAAAGGAAGACAACAAAGAAGAAGAAAATAATAAGGAAAATTTAAATTCTTAATTTATGTTCGCTATTCACAGCGCAGATGAATATAATGCAAATAATAACTTTTCTGCATTAAAATTCTTAAATGCGAAAGCGTGTTTTCTGACTTGATGCTTTTCAAAGATAGATAATATATTTTTATGTACATGATGTGTTCATGCGAATTTATGAATGCGTATGTACATGATTCATGCTTTTATCATTGAGTTTGCTTCATTTGTAATTTGAATGTTATCATCATAGACTTGGTACAAAATTGTCTTTTCCAAGTTTCATAAATCAAATTGTTAAATTTGAAAAGGTTCGTGACTGAAGTTTCGTCAAGTGTTAGATAAATACTAATAATAACAATAGTTAAATTGAAATTTAAACTAAGACAGAATAAGTTTGAATAGAATGAAAAGTTTTTTTACATTTTACAATTCTTACCTAAGCATAATAGACATTTCATGACAAAGAGATGTGCAAGTTTTTGTGTGAAAATGACAATTTGTGTCAAAGCACTTCCTACTTAACAGGAAATTATGAATTGTTTCTTGAATTTTAATTCATCTCGTTTCTCCTGTGTTCGTTTTATGTGCATATACAATGTACGTCAAATTGTTTAAACCAAAGATGAGATAATTTTTGAGAAAAAGCACGTGTAGAAAGGTGAGAAAGTGAGGGAAGTGAAAATTGAGTGAGGGAAAAAGAAAAACAGGTTTATGCATGAATGGAAAGGGAAGAAATCTTGTATAAATTCTTGTAAAAGTGTATTCAAGTCATTTACACTATGAAACAGCAGAAACAGTAGAGGAAGGGAAAGAAAGAAAAGCAAATTTAAATAACAGCAGTGTTTGAACAGGTACATCAAATTTCATAATCAAACATTTACTTCATTATCTGTAATTTCGTGTTTATTAATTCCTCTCTTGCCATCCATTTGTTTTCACACTGGAGGGTTGTCTTCATTTTGTCTGTAAACACGCGCTTTTTACGTTTTTTTTTCTTTTCTTATTCCTTTTTATTTCCTTTCCCTTCTCACTCTATATTTTGCTCTAATTTTTTTACAAATAAAACATAAAATAAAAGGAATAAAAAAAATGGTAAGGAAGTAAGTTTGTTAAAGTACGAGAATGAGGAAGAAAGACATCAGAAATAGAAAATCACAATAAGTTTAAGAGAAAATACAAAACTACATGAAATAAGATGTCGATTTACGTACGTACGGAAATGTTTTGTGTTAGCCATAGATGATAAGCAAAATAGAGAAACTTACATTGAAAAATTGCTACAATGACTAACAGCCATTACTCTTGTAAGAAAAAAGGAAAAAGTGTTCTTCTATATAGCTGTATATATGTATATATCAATGTCTTAATACATTGTTACATTTTCCGTATTCCCATTTATTTTATTTTTTGCGTGCAAGGAATGCATTTACAGCACAATATCCATTTTATTTTCATTAACATTTCAGCACATTTTCCATCTTTCGGTTTGTCAACATGGTTACGGTGGGGCTTCATTATGTTAGTTGACAGTTCCTGCTTTCTCAATTCATTTTTATGGCCTCACGTTCACATTAGAAGTCAATGGTAGTATTCTCATATAATTCTACATGTATGTCATTTGCTTTCTAAGAACCAACTATCACATCAGATAAGTGCTCTCACATTTTCTCATTCTTTTCTTATCATTTTTGATGAAGTTTTCTGCCATTTATTTAATAAATGGGACACACACGATGATTATCGTTATTTGCTAAAATCTTTAAGTACCTTCACTAGTGTTGAATTTAAGTTTTTAGAATTTTTCACCAGCTTCAAAAATTGAACCTTTGGTATTAGAACTGAAAACTTTTAAAATAATAATAAAAAACATTTTTAAATAATTTCCTTTGCGATTTACATCTCATTTTTCATAAGAAAGTTTTTCATATTTTATTTACTCATTTTTTTATTTTCTCTTTTTGATAATAAAATCTTTTGATGTGAGAACAAAGTTAATCATATGAACAAAATCTTTATATTGTCAATAAAAAATAATTTATTAAATCAGTACTGTTGTATTGTCTCAAATCAATATAAAGTAATTAATTCAAACTGAAAATTTTCATTAAATCATGATATTTGAGACTATTTGAGTGACGAAGAAAAAATATACATCAATTATCAACACGACAAACATGGAATTAAAATTAATTGAAAATAAATTATATTGACATGAAATGCGAATTTAGTTTGAATGGGAAATTGAATGAATGAGCATTGATAAATTGCTTTTTTCGCCTTTTGTTTCTTTTGTACAATTTTCGAATTTTTCACACTGAAATATTCAATTGTGCCAAATAAAAAAATGGTTAGCACCTCATATTAAAATTGGAAACGATGATTCTTAATTAAATATCGAGAGCTTCAATTATTTTAACTTCATTAATGTTACTTATATTTTTATTGTTTGAAAAATTGGCGGATTTTCTAATTAGTTGTTAATATTTTATAATTTTCTCGACAATAGAGGTCCACATCAGATTCTCAACATTTTTAACTACGATAAAAACCAATTTTATTTTATTTTTTTTTATAGTATAAAATCATATAAAATTTTCAGTTCAATCTGTTTCTGTTGATTTTATTTTAAAGTCAACATAATTTTGTTGACAAAGTTTCAAGTACTATACAAACAGAAACGACAAATAATGTTAATAGTAAGAATCAGATAAATATTAATGATTTCCATTTTTACTCTCCTGATAAATTAAAAGAATTGTGATGTTAGAACCTCTATTTTTTTTAAATACAATCCTTATGTTTTAACTATCTCAAAACATTTCAAATTTTATTAAATCATTTCTGTTTTGAAGTCATTTTTAAATATTTTTTTATGGACATTTTACAAATTTTTATATTATAACATGATTTTTTTTTTTCTTAGGAATTTTTAATATTCTACAAATTTTTTGGGATTCATAATATGTATTAGAGTTACATGACATCACAATGGAATCTACATTCTAAAATAAAGAACATAACCCATTTTTTTTTGTTTTTTTTTAATAGAAAAATTGCTGATTTACCTTTTTCATATGTCTGAATGCAGAGTTTTTTTTTCAGGATTATTTTCTTCTTTCAACATTCTGATATGATTGTTATGTCATTTTTGTGATAAAAAATGTTATAAAATATGTGATCAAAAGTTAATATTTTATTCACAAAATAACAGATGATAATTGACAACTCATTTCATCACTTATCATCATCTTAGTTTGTTAAACATTTTTTTTATCATTTTCTTCATTATTAAATATTAGTGTAACACATAATAGAAACTTCAATGAGCACATTTGCTCTAGATAGATAGTTATGATTCTTATTTATTCAACCGTAGAGTAAATTAATAGAGAAGAGAGAAAGTTACTTTTCTTTACAAACTAATTATTGTTCAGTCAATGTCGATCACTTTACGTTAATTTTTTTTCTTCAAGTATAATATTCGGTGATAAAATTTAATGAGATTTTTCACTTCTTCACGCTTATCAAATAAAATTTAAACAGTTTCATTCTTCAAGTTGATTACATTTTTTTTCTCTCATATTACGTTGTATAAATAATAAAATAATTCGGCTTCAAAAATGTTACTTAATGTCATACCTTAACGTCATGAAATGATTTTGAGATTTATTTGACATTTTTGAAAACAAAATCTTCTTAACAGTTTTTATACTACACATCAGTCCCACCTTCTCCAACGTAACCTTCATCAGGTGAATTTCTACTATTGGATAATGCACGTTTTAAGGCCGTTGTGACAGGCGGCAGGACTGGAACGCCTCCCTTTTGCCATACACGAAGTGTTTTTGCATTCATTGGAATGCCACCATTTGCAGTTGGACTATTTGAAGATGATGTTGATATTGCATTAAATTTGTTATAATGATGCTGTTGTTGTTCAGCACCTGGCACAATTGGTAGGCCGTAGTCTGATGGGTAGCCCGTAACTATCGAATTATTTAGGTCATTATCCATATGAATACTGCTTGAATGGTGGGCATTGTTAATTGTTGCTTTAGAAAATGAACGATTCATAAAGTCTAATGAAGTCTCATCGTCCATATTCATGGTTTCTGTAATTTGCGCACTAGATATTTTATTACCTCCAATTATTGGCAATTTATCGGAATAATTATGATAGCTGGATGTTACTGATAGATTTCGGTTCATGTACAGTTCATTTGCTTGTTCAAGTAAAAGATTACTATTTAAATTTGCTGTCGCTGTCTCCCATAATCCAGACGGATATAACGAATCACAACCAACTCGACTGTAATCACCACTACCAGCACGATCAATTACATCATCTGAACAGTTCCCACTCAATGATGCAAGCAAATTACTTCTGGCTACGCTCAATGTACCTGAGGTCGATAGTGGCAATAGTGATGAACTATCAATACCGATTGTTGACATATCAAGACCACTACCCTGTCTTTTTGTGTCATTTATCAAGTCGGGATTATTGCCTGTAGGTGAACTATAGCTCGGGCCAACAGATACTACACTGCCATTTCCATCGTAATGGCTAGTTGAATATGTTATATCAGTTAATCGTGGTGGTTTTTGTACTGGGTTAGTATGCGTCATATCAGTTGAATCTTTGCGATCTGGCGAATTAACGTCGTTTGTGTGTGATGTTGAACATACCTTTCTATTAGGGTTATTTGAAGGACTTACAGACATTGTCACTTCAACTTGATTCGGCGTTTTCGTTTCAACTTGAGGCAGTCTACGTAATCTCACGAGCAAAAAGAGAATGATGAGTAGAATGAAGAGAATAAGTATAATAAGAGCAGCACTAAGCCCCGCAATTTGTCCGTTACCAAAAGCATTGGTCACAGATCTCATTGATACATGAAGCGTGAAATTTGCTTCTGCACTACCAGCTCGATTTTCAGCAACACAGTAAAACTCACTTGAATCCGTATCTTGAGCATTTGTTAATATTAAGCGACTACGTTTCTCAAAATTTCCATCTTCATAAATGTGCACCTTTTGATATGAGCTAAATGCTGAATTATTATTTAACAGTCTTCCGTTCCAATACCAGGTTATTGTGGCTGCAGGTACAGCTCCTGTTTGACATATAATCGTAGCGTTTTCACCATTTACTGCCTCAATGTGACGACGTACGGGCAACATTTCTGGCTTACATGCAAAATCATCGACATCAAGTTCCGCAAATGATTTATCAATGACCCGCTCAGGTCCACCACTACAAATTGGCGCAACCGGATATGGTATATTATTTTCAGTCAACCACAGTTTTGTCGCCCTCAACCGGCAATCACATAACCATGGATTGTCGTGAAGTTCAACCCAGTGTAACTTACTTAAAGTCTCAACTGTCTTTGCTCGTAACTCTGATAGTTTATTGCCATTCAACTTCAGTGAATGAAGTGATTCAAGATTTTCGAATGCTGTTGCAGAGATGCTCTGTAAGTCACAATGTGACAGATCCAATTTCGTTAGACTCAAAATATTATTGAATGCATGACTTTCAATTTTTTGTATTGGATTACTTGCTAGCGTCAAATCGCGTAATGATGTTATATATTGAAATGTGGCTGCTGGCACGAATGTCAATAAATTTTGAGATAAATCCAATTCGATTAGATTTGTAAGGCCGTCAAATGCTTTGTCATCTATTTGACCAAGACGACAATTTCTCAAATACAATTTTTGAAGATTTAAGAGTTCAGCACGTCGAAATGTCTCTCCAACGATTATTTGAAGATTTGAACCACTCATGTCAAGCACCTGGGTTGATAGGTCAACATTTTCAGGTATATTTATTAGTTGTCGATCTAAACACTCAACTGTCTGCTTCCCACCCTTCCATTTGCATGTACATACTGTTGGACATGAACTTTCACGACATTCAACACTGTAATGACTTGTAAACGTTCCCAATAATAGAACAATCATCAGATACATAACGATATAATAATGCATTGTACGTTTATAATGCATTTGTCCACTAAACTTTGTTGATGGAAAATCTATTACAAGTAGAACCGTCACATTTGATATATCCTTCGACAATTGTAGTAATGGTGATATTAAATGTGATGTTACCATTATTTTGATTTCTATTATTTTTTATGACCACTTTTGTTTGATTTATTCATTAACTTTATGGATTTATGTACGTATTAGAACACAACAATTATCTGCTTTCAATGATCTTTGATCGAATTATGATTTGAACTTTTAATTTTCTCTCTTTATTGGCTAATAATAATATTTTTTCTTATTTCTAATGTTTATCATAAGAATACTTTTTCATTTAATTATTTTTTAGACATTTATAAAAAATTTTGGTATTCATCACTACTAAACTTCATTCACTTTTATTTATTTACAAGGTAGTTTGAATCACACCTTAAAATACGTTACATAAAGTCAGAATGTCTTTGGTATTAAATCATCTATTATTTCTGCTTTTTTGCCTCCAGATTTCATGTAGATATGTTAATAAATTAAGTATGTTGAAGTTCTAATTTCAACAGGCAAATAAAAAACTATTTCTGTTATATAAATGTATGTAGTGATACACAACTGCTTTTTATAGTTAATCCTTCCTCTTTTCAGCACATTTTATTTGATAGTGAGACATTAGTCGTGTATCGATTCTTCCTTTATTTCATTAACAATGTCAATTTGAGTTGTATGTTTTCTTCTTTTCCTCTACACAACACATTATTTATCACATTTTCATTCTCATTTATTATATTGTTTTGTCAAATCATTATAACTGTGCTTATTGACCGGTATTTGTTAATGGAGAACTATGATGTTTTATTCTAATACTTCCTTTAGAGTTTTCGGAGTGTTCAATGTATTTTTGTCACTGCAATTGATGGCTAGTATAAGTAATAAATACTTTTATTCATCAAAGTCCCAGCATATCTTTTTACGCACAATCTAATCATTAAATTCAATTTATTCCATATATTTGTACATTTCAATGCAATGCTTTGCTTTTCTTTTTGTCGATTGAGTATATGTTTTTGAAAGCAAATATTTGTTTAATAGTTATACTGATTAATAGTGAAGATAACACTTTTTATCAAATAATTAAAATTCTGGCTCTTAAATTTTTTCACTACATCATTACTATTATCTGTTTTTTTGTTATTTCGATATTTATACGTTCATTTTCTCCCTTATTATGTTTTCATTCTCTATATCTTGCCACTTTACGATTGCGTATGTAAGTGTACGTGTGAAAAAGGACCGTGCGATATAATAACAATAAATCACTATAGTTTCTTTTATGTATTTATTAGAATCAATACATAGTAAGAATGTGTATGTAACAATTATTATAATTCCGTTCTGTGTAATTTTTTTGCTTATATTTTTTAGAATGTCTTAACATTATTGCGTTACACATATTTATTCTTGAAATTATTTCCACAAGCTGGCAATAGCTCTACATGCCGCATTATTATAAACTGAATAATCTTATATTTCTTCTTTATTTTCTTTTATTTCCATTATTTTCATTTTATTTCTTTTTGTAGCTTCTTCTTCTTTTTACTTTACGGTTCCATTCGAATAAGTTCTTACTTTTTGCCTCTTTCAAGTAGATTTTTGTTAATTTTCTATAACTTTTTCTTATGTATATGTAAGTTTACTTCATAACTCTTAGTCGTATGTGAAAAAAAAATCTTTTATTATATTCAGTTTCCTGCTTTCTTTTTTGCTCAATTTTTACGTATATTTTTAGTGTTTTTTTATGAGAATTATTATTTCTCATTTTTATCCATACACTTTTTTTTCTTGCATCAAACAACAATATTTGATTCATTCATTTTTTTTTATTTTACGATTTATTTTCGTTCTTAAAATTCACTCACTTTAATGTATTTTCATCATATGTCTTTTGACATTTTCCTCTTTTCAATAAATCAAAATCTTATTAATAATTCACAATCATTGGATTAACTGACTTTGTCGATCCTTTCAATATAATACAGTTGTCGAATGTATTATATCTTGTCCTTAGTATTGTATCCTTTTTGTAAATCCAACTCTTTATATATTGCAAATGTAATCATGAACATATACTGGATGCATAATATATATTAAACTGGTCTATTTAGAACAAAATAAACGAAAAGAAACACATTTTAGTTTTAAAAATCATACAATATGTGTCTATGCATTTGAGTGTTGAAAAATTGGAACAAAGTTGAGAAAAGTCTCTAGAGTTCTATGATTCTAGCTATGCTCCATATGTTTTCAACACACCAAACTTTGTTTTACTTAATTTGGTGCAAAGTTTTAGTTTAGCTTTGCGTTTGACTTTTATTTTTGCTAGAAATGGAACAATTTCTCCTTCTAGATCCCGTTTCTCTTTTGAGCAATGGATAAAGTTCAGAAAAAAATTATACTTTTCAGAATTTTAACCAAAACATGGAGCACAAGAACACATATTTTTATACATATAGTAGGAAAAAAAAGTTATGAAATAAATATTCCATGGAAAATGATTCGGAAAAAGAGAAATCGTTAGTATTCGGAAAGTAAATTCAAACAAACTTTTTACTTCGCAAGTATTGCAAATTTAAATGTACATAGCAATTTCCTCGCAATTGATTTTTTTCTCCCTCATATACTCTGTTCATCAAATATTTATTGCGATCGCGAAATTGAAAATTTCTCTTTATGTATATAAATGTGTGATTTTTTGCTTTAGTATTTCACTTTTTTCTTCTCAAAAAGAGCACGCGATAGAACGATATTAATCCACATTTCCAGCAAGTTGTACATTTCATCAAATATTAATGTTCTAACCATTATTCGACTTGCAATCACTCATTATTAAACATTTAATGTATGCACTGTGATATAATTAACTTTTTATAATTTTTCTTTTATGCTTTATTCTATAGGCGATTCGCAAAAAGAGTTACTTCCTGTTATTTTCTGTGACTATATATTTGTGAATTAGAAGCGGCGTTCTTAGATGCATCCACATACCGCGATATTCCGAAATTGACTGAGTCACTAAAAATCTTCACATCATAATTTCGAAACAAACGAATTACGGAAATAGCGAAGAAAAAAAAAGAAATCAAGTAATATAGAATAAGAGCGTCGTCTTGCGTTGTTGCGATAATCGAAAGAATCTTTGCTTTATTTTCATAGAAATTGAGAGAAAATGAGAGAGCTGAGAGTAAATCTGAGAGAAATCATGTTGTTTTTGTTGAGAACATATACAAAAACTTTATACTGAGGGTAGATTTGCTCATTTTTTTGTATTTTCGATATTAATCGTACATTTTAAGAGGGGGAATTAATGCCCAAAAAGGACGAACACATAGGCATGCGCAATTAAGCTATAATGAAAATGATAAAAATAAAAATCGTATATACAAAATTGTTTTTTTTTTCTTCTACTCATTCATTCATGAACTTTAAGTTATTCTTCTTAAACATAAAGGTTATACAATTCAAAAGTTGTTATCATGGTAGTATTGCAACCAAAATTACTCTCTACCGGCACATTGCAATCTTCGCTTCATCATTTGTTTGTATTACATTCCTTTTATTTTACATGAACGAAGAGACAAAACTGATGTTGTCTGATATTAACAGATATTGTGTGCTGAATTTTCTTTCATCGTTACAACAATTATTTTATAACATTCATAGCAATTTTTTAGTATCATCATCATCACCGTATACAAAGTTAGTGGATCAAGACATAAACACAACAGTGCTTTGTGTTGTTTCGTTTTCTGTTACATTAATTCCAATTAAATTTTTTTGCGCTTTTGTCGTCATAACATAACAATAAATCATAAGTCTATGATTTTTATATGTAGTAAAAAAATCGTGTACTTTTTGCTGATGATTGTACACATTATATTCGAGATTTTGATATGTTGTGCTTTTATGCTTCGTAGCCCAGCTACCTTCTATTCTTCTCTTATTCTGCTCTGTTTATCACAGTAGAAGCAAAAAAATATAATAATAATTTGTCATTAAGAAATTTTCTTTTTTTCTTCTTTTTCTTTTTCATTTCTCAATTTTTCATTCATTTATTTTCTGTCTCGTGTACTTCAATTTTCAATCTCTTCTTTTCATTCTTCTTCTCCTTTTTGATATTTAGAGCGAACGACAAAAACATGTCATTACTCATAAAAACTTAAGCTCGTTGTATTAGAGAACAAGAAAGCATCAACAACAAATTTTCAACAATTTGCTGTTATTGCTCTTGGCTCAAGACCTACTACTACATTTATCACGATGCTCATCATGACCCTATTTCCGAAAGCTTAAAAGTTTTTTAAACATTAATTTACCTTAAACAATTTACAAAAGCCTTTGTTGAAATTTCACCCTTTTCTTTTGAAACAGTACAGTAAAGTGCTTATAAATAACTTATTGTTCTTTTAAATATAATATACACAAAAGGCATCATTAAGGATTTGAGAAAAGTAAGGTTGATCAACCTATTATATCCAAATAAAGCTGATGGTGATTTATGTAAAAAAATTCAGAAAAATATTTTATTTTGCTCTTTACTTTTGTTTTTTTTTTAATGGGTCATTCTTATTTTTTTCGATATCTGATATAAGAAGACCATAAATTTAAAAAAACATATTATTTTTAGTAAAAAAAAGGATGAATGTATGTTAATATTTGAAAGGCTTTAGAAAACATATTATATTTCATTTTTAAAGATTACTTTTTATCAAGAAGTGTGATACAGTATGCATGTTTTTTTTAAAGATATTCGTCTGTTTAATTATATGGATATAAAAATAAGTTTAAGCAATAATTTAATTGTCTTAATGTCGACATTGATTTTTATACAGCATCTGTTTCTAACAATTCACTTATAAAAAAATGTTTATGCTCTATGAAGACGCTATTACCTGTAAATTTCTAACAAGTTTACGTTTGTGTAAATAACGTAAAAAAATCGCTTGTGTATAGAGTAAATGATAATGCTTGACGTCGTAAAAATTCAATTTATTTTGTGAGTAAATTGGTTGATGTTGATACTTAATAAACGTCGCATTTCAAAAGTATCTGATTCTATGTATATTTTGCAATGAAATTTAATGCAATACACACGTCTTAGTTGATAAATAAATCGGAATCTGTATATGTGGAGAAATATTTCTCACAATTATATACATAATTTTATTCCGCAAGGATTTATTGAAATTGAATAGCTTCACAATCATATTAAGAAAACATCTCACATATTAAGACTCGATTGCTGTTCACATAAAATATATATATTCATTTCATTGCACGAAACTTTTCCCTTCTCCTTTTGTTTCACTTCTCAAAACAGTATAAAAATCTAACACGGATAATGTGATATGTGTATCGGAGAAATAATAAGGACTTATAGAAATAAAGAAACTTTTCCTACAGTCTTGTTTTCTCCACTTTTTTCCATTTTGTTTTATTTCTTCGCATGCCTTTTCATATCATTTGTGTGTACAATTTTTTTTTTCCTAACCATCGAAAATCCTTTATTTCTCTCGGAATAAGGATATGAGATGAGAATATTAATTAACACTTTAAATGAAATAATATCTTATTTCATTATTATGTTTACCATATTCAGACCAAAATGATAAGGAAAAACCCTGAAATGATTACGTAAATCCAGGTATAACAATAATAATAACAAAGTTTTTTTTCAAACCCTCTTACTGCTAAATGTAGAAAGTTGAAAGAACAATTTATTGTAAAAAATATTCAAGCAGTGCTTTATTTTATGAAACGCATGATTTAAAAATTCCATGATGGCAATTGTGGAAATCTAAGGGATGAAATCTCAAAAGTAGAGAGCTTAAATTAGTAAGATAATTTTGCGCTCACGCCTGGAAATAAATTTTATGAAAATGAAATATTTTTGTCCCTTTTTCCATTTCACACTATATGTTTGTCTAGAGAAATCTAAGCTCAGCATGTGTTTTCGTAGAAGTACTATCCTTCATAAATTTAAGGTTGGTTGTGGTAAATGAAAAACTTTCTCTAAACAACAAAGTGCATACAAAAAAATTTAGTATAAAACTCATAAAAATTTCAATATGTTTCTAACCCTAAATGCAGCCACAATAGTATAAATAGTAAAGTTTTCAGTACATTACTAAAACTATCAACATTTTGTTTCTTTCATATTTTCCTTATATATGTGAAATGCATGGTAGATGTATGGAGAGATAGTGGTAAAAAATTTCCTCGATTTTCATTTCTTTCTTTCTAACTCTATCGTCATATCATTTTATCGTGCATGGCAAATTCTACAGAAGCTATAAATTATTCATCAAATCGTAATTTTCCCATTAATTTAAGAGAATATTTTTACTTCTACATTTTTCGGATCGATTTCTATTTAGACTTTTGTTATGTTAAAGTATGTTTTAGACCACTGATAAAGTGCTTCTATCCTTTTTATTGCAAGTTAAAATGCATCGTTGTGCTTTTTTAAGTGCTTTAATGACTGAATACTGAAATGACAAAATTGGTAATTAAGCGTAGAGACTCTGCAAAGCACTGCAAAGCAACAATTAAAAAGCAGTGGCGCGTTTCAATCACATGGAGTTTCTGATCAAATTTGAATGTTTTTATGCTGTTTTAGTCATGTTAACTCGTTTTGTGTGAATCTCGATCTAGACACATTACATGATAAACCCTGGGTCATGCAACTGTGCAAAAGGCAACCAAAATATACACATATTAAAATGATGCCAACTTATAAAATAAATCAAAATTTATATGACTAGTAATACAGCAACATTTAAGTGCATTTAAGATGGAAAAGATGTTGCTTTAAGTGTTCCTCCACTTAAAAATATAGAATAACGATTATTTTTATTAATTACAAAAGTCCTTACGCATTATCTAGTTCAGTTTTAACGCAGCGATTTGTATTTTATTTGCAAGTCAATGCAATTAAATGAACAAAATATTACATCAGCTTATCTTTGAAAAAAAATTATTTCATTACAAACTTTAATTAATATAATTAACAGTGCTCTTTGTGGTAGGTAAGTAGAAGAATTTTTTCAGTGAATTTGTGAATGTGAAAGAATGTTAGATCCAAATTTTAATGGTCTAGTTGAATTATTCAGTTTTCAAATCAGTTATTGATATTTTTGATGAAATAACAGAAACTTACTTATTCATTTGTTTATAGTTTTTACCACGTTTTTTTTATTTTATTTATGTTCCTCTATATTTGTTTATTGGAAATGTCAAAGTACGAAAAAGGAAGAGAATTAAAAGAAAATAAAACTAAATGCCTAATAATTGCAATTATTAATGTAATGGAAATTAATGTGCAAACTTTTTTTGATAAACCATATAAAACTCCAAACGAGGCAACTATGAGAAAATGTTAAAAAGTTTTAGGCATATTAAATTTGATTTAGCATTTGTGAATGTTTAATTTAAGGGTTGTGGTGAATTTGAATATTCAAAACTAATTAAAAAGGAGCAATAACTGGAAGCTTGTTTAAGACTCTAATCTAACTTTGATCTTATACAATAATAAGAGGGCTTTCATTTGCTTATGAGCACAGATTATTTCTAATAATAGACTTCGATGTAATCAATTATCAACATGTCTTCAAAAGGTAACAAATTTAATCAGTATATGATCGATGAGAAACTTACTTCAGTGGGATTTCATTGTAAATAAACTTTGTTTCCTGTGCGTTACTATCCATTATACACCCATGTAGAATGCTGCTAATATTATTTTCATGTTAATTCTGTTTTGTGTTTCTTCTCTTAAGTCTTCTGTAGCTTTGATATTGATACTTCTTCTCCCATATAAAAAACTGCAAAATATTAAATATCATCCTGTGGATGTGGTTAAAATCAGAAATAAAAAGAAGCATTTTATAGTCAGTTGTCGGAGGCATTAGCGTAAAATTTCATTTGGTCGCTGATGAAATTTTGTTCTTCTTTCTCTTATGATGTACAAATGTACACGTATATGTATGATTGTGTTTACAGTGTGAGCATACAAAAAAGTTTACGAGCAATATTATGAAAAACGTATTGTCATAAAAAGAAAAAAGCAAGAGGACCCTAATAGGCA